CATTTCAAGACCATGTATTTCATGTATAGGAGGAAAAAGGAAAAGACAGAAGGGAGGGCAGGGCGAGAGAATGAGATTCTGGGAATCCCTGACTACATTAAACAGGGATTGTTGAATGATCTATGAGCATGAACGTAGGCTTTTATACTTATTCATGTGTGAAGATGTGTGTGTGTGTGTGTGTGTGTGTGTTTGTGTCACAGCATGCTCCCGGTAAATGTTTCTCCTTGACTGGAGAGACCCTGACTTTTGCTGCTATATCTGTTCAAATAAAACAAAGCCACATAAACACAAATAAACCACAGGCTTACGTCAAGAAATATGTTTCCACATTCATCACCCTGACAAAACCATACTTTACTGTGGGGGAATTCAATCCAATGTGAAAATAAACTGATGTACATAACTACAGCGCTTTTAGACTGCGGTCAACACACATGCCTCTGCATGCACACATACACACACACAAAGAATCACTATGTCTCCCTTCTCCCTCTACCATCTGAATTTAGCAATAATTTAGACCGTTTCTCTCCCTTTGCACACATGCATGCACACACACATGCACAAGCACACACTTTCTCTCTCACACACACGTGCATACACACACACACGGTGAACAGTAGAATTGGGTTTACAATCAGGGCTATGATAAATAGATATCATAGCATGTGATCAGAGTGTATTTTCATCTATATTTTTCCTATGTGTTTTTATGGTGTGTTTCTTTACTGTATGGAAATTCTGTCATCTTTCCTGATTTAAAGGCCTGGCTTTGGGTGACTTAAAAAATTATTACATTTCATTACAACTTGAGCTTTTTTTATGGTTTTAGCCATGATTTCAGTCAGTTATGATGACTGTGATACATGATGGACCATTTAGGTGAACTTTGTTTTCTTCTTTCAAGTAAGTTTGTTTCACCTTTGGGTTCATTGACAACCTGTCTGATTGTCTAACTGCTTATGTTTCTAGATGTCAGTGATTAACCTCGTGATTCTAACTGATGATGATAACAGTGATAAAATTACACTCAAAACAACACCCTGGTCTTGGTCATGGTAGCAGCAGTTTTTAGGCCTTTTCAGACCTGCAGATTAAACTGACAGCAGTGTAACATATTGGTGCCATGTGTGGTGCTATTACACCAGACACACTGACATAAAAATCACAACTGCAAACCTACCAGATCAGACCAAGTTTCATTTCTGCATGACTTTAAATGCAGCATGAATGTAAATTGAACGAACATTGTTACCACCTTCTCATGTCACTGTAGTACATTTGTTCTCTCAGTCTTCATCTCTTAAGCACAGAAGCAATAAAGCAATAAGTTTAATAAACTATGAAATTCTATGAAAGAGTCTGTTTGAAATTGTTAAGGAGGTTCTTCTCAGAAAAGATTAGGCTTTAAAAATGCACATTACAGCTCTTGTAAATGTAAATGTGCGGTCATGGTAGAATAAATCCAGACAGAGCATTTATGTAAAAGACATCTCCACCTAAATGACAGAAAGCCATCATTTTGACAGGTTGTGGTAAAAGTTACTTTTTTTTTTTTTTTTACTTTAGTACAGTAGCCCAGATATCTGTCTCAAGCTATATCTTTTACTAGGAGACCCTGAGGTATTCCAAGTCAGATGAAATCCTATCTGTATAACCCCTCCATGAGTTTTGGGTCTTGCCTCAGGTCTCTTTTCTGTTGAGCATGCTTGGAAATGTCTCTTGTGAAAGTTGTTAATCAGACATTCAAAGCACCTCAGTTGTTTCAGGGCAGAGAAGCTGAAGTTCAACTGAAAGCTACATTTCCATCTTTAACTCTCTTACCCTGTCTCTACGGGTTGGTCACAATGCTACAAGCCATAATAGCATAGCTGGTAATTGTCTGACCTTGTGAGTCTGTCTGTGTTTGTGTGTTCATGACAAAATTAGTGTCCAATCTCTGTCGATGTCCCCATGTAGCCCAAAATGTCTGACCGCATGGAGTGTCTGCACTGTGAGCATGCCAACTGCACATACGCAAAAAAATGGTACTCTAAACAAATGCTTGTTATGATGAGACACTTCAGAAGGATAATACTAGTCGTTCACACCTTTATTCATCATTCAAACAGTTTTGGTTTGTACATGTGTAAACACACTGGCAAGTTCCAAATTTTCCAGAAATCCTGTGCTGTATCTGCCCACTGTGGGTACCTGCTATGTCCTATAAAAAGCACAAAGTCAGAAACATCCACTGGAGCCCTGTGCGATTTCAAACGAATGAATAAATGAGGGGCAATGTATCTGTGTAGCAGACCAGTGTGTACCTATTAAAGTATGAACACAGCATGTGCATGTCTGCTGTACACTTTCAAAGTTCTCATTGATCTGTGCATGCATTAGCCCTTTAAGGTCTGCCTCGCTACCCTTTAAAGAAAATTCTGCATTCATTTTTTAATTCTTTCTTTTGGTTACTACTCAAGCTCATGACACTTGTGATCAGATGAAAGCTTTAATTGTGAGCTCAACATGAGGATAGCCTAAGGAGGATCCTTTTAATCCCGTGGTTCCAAACATGGTTTGACCATAGAACCCCTTCAAAAAATTTTTTTGTCATGACCCCTCATATAAGACATCATACCACAGCACTGACTTTAGAACTCTCGCTTTGCTTTGTAACCTGATTCCAGCTATGGCCATGCATCAGACAGCTCTCTGGATTAATCTGCTCTACGTGTGTGTGTGTGTGTGTGTGTGTGTGTGTGTGTGTGTGTGTGTGTGTGTGTTTTAGAAAAAACAACAACAATAATTGATTGTATTTTGTGTTTAGTGTTAAAACCACAGTATTGACCTGGAGAAAATGAGAAACTGGGAAAGCGATTAAGACACCTAATGCATACACAGACACAAACACAAACACATGCACGCGCACGCACGCGCGCACACACACACACACGCCTACATGCATATTGCAGACACTGCTCCAGAAAGACAAGGTCAGGGCCCAGTCTCCCAGCACATAAAGAGATTGCATTCAAACGACCATATAAACTCTAATTCATGACATGCGTGAAAGCAAACTGAATTGAGTGCTCTTAGATGATCGTTTATATATGTTTGTTTGTTATTGTTTGTTCATTTTGGGTTTATGCATTTCCCGTTTTTTGAATAACGGTTTCATGTTAGTGAAGTGACTTTCAACTAGTTCAGCATGTTTGTGTGAAGACTGCATCGGAGATCAGAAGTTTGAGAATTGAAGTCTACCTAAGAAGATATGTTTGCATCCCCAATAAGCTTTTTGTCTTTGAAAAGTTGGACTCACCAATTATTATATGGCATGTAAAACTGACCACAGGGCTAAAATGACAAACTCTGCATGCTGTTCAGTCAAAAGGAATTTCTGACTGTGTGTTCACTGTGAAAGCTGTAACATTTGGGCATTTCTGTTATTCTCTATATTGTATACAATATCAAAAAACAAGTTAAAAATTATAGCAATTTTACATGACACCTGCAATTAAGCCTCACCCCTGGTTTCTTACAATTAGAGTTAGTTTGGTGAGCACAATGCTACAATTAATGATGACCAATGAACTTATGGAAATAAAACCAAAGCTGTTGCTAGAATTACCATTTTGCAGATGCATACCTCTACCAAGCAATCAAGGTGCAGTTTGCATCCATGTCTGTCCAGACTTGACCATTGATTTGCGGAATATATATATGTCATTAAAATGCTAACTGTTTTGCCTGCCCCTGAGTTTACAGTTGTGTATATTGTAGCTGTTTACATATCCTCGAGTGCTAATGTTAGCACAGCACTCAGGAATCTACATGACCACATCTGTGAGCTCCAGACCAAGCAGCCAAGCAACCTGCTAGTTCCTGCTAGTAAGACATTAAGCCAACAGACCAGACCATCAGTGTTTGGCCCATTGGAGCCCAGCTGCTTCTTTGCCCCAGGGCTGTTTTGAGTGCATCAACCGGCAGATATTCAGAGAAGCAGCAACCAGTGAGGGTAAGGTAGACATGTTTGTGGATAGATCAGCAGATGTATTGATGGCATCACCATCACCAGGAAAGTAACTGTCTGTCCCAACCAGAAACCCCGGCTGAATGGAGAGGTGCAGTCTCTTTTGAGGGCACGGGACTCAGCCTTCAGGTCCAAAGATGCAGTGGCAGTGAGAGCAGCAAGGAGGGAACAGGAGGCTGGCATTAAAAGGGCAAAGGCTACTTATGCCCTCAGAATACAGGGTCATTTTTTCACCAACAACCCACAGAGCATGTGGAACGGCTTAAAGAGCATCACGGACTAGAAGAAAAGGATTGGTGTATGACAGGATAGCACTGCAATGAGTCATTAAATCTGTTCAAAAAACAACCAACAACAGCCTCCCTACCTTGGAGGACATTTATGTCAACAGGTGCAGAAGCAGAGCGTCATGTATCATGAAGGACCCCACCCACCCGGCAGGACAATGGGGCTAAAGTGCAGCTTCTTCCCAGAGGCTGCAAGGCTTATGAAGTCTATGGCTTAAAGTTTGTCCTCTGCACTAGGTACTGCTCATTGCATCTGGTTACTGATGCACTATTCATTTAATATTATTTATTCTGTATGCTGCTGGACCCGAGTAACAAATTTAATTCCCTTGTGTTTTAAACATGCTTCAATGACAACTAAATTGAACTGAACTAAATTTTTAGCCTATTAGACATTTGTGTGAAAGTTTGTCTTAACTAGTTTATGAATTCTTGAGTTATAGCCAGAAAACTGTGAGGTCACAGTGAGCTTTGAACACTAAATTCACACCAGTTCTTCCTTGATTCCAACTGAACATTGTGCCAAATTAAAAGAAATTTCCTCCAGGTCTTCAAGAGATGGACCACCCAAGAACATAGTGCCTCTGGTCTCAGCTGTTGCCATTGGGGAGGCACAATATGGGGAATTACTCTGAATAGCTTAATAGTTTAAAAAGGATCAACGAAACAAGAGGACAGCTGTTCGGTGGAGATCAATTCTAACGGTCATGGAGCAGACACTGGGATGTCTCAAAAAGGATCATCATGCCCACCTTGTTTCTCTCGAACAGTTCACTCTGGATGGCCTTAAGGTCGATGTCGAGTGCAGAGGCTGCCTGCCGGCGTTTTTTAGCCAATTGCTCCTCCAGGTCTTCAGCTTGAGCCCTCAGTTTCTTGTTGTCCCGCTCTAGGGCCAGTTTCTCTGTCTCCAAACGTTCTCTGCGTCCCCACTCAGCAGCATTCTCTACCTGCAGCCTCTCCATCTAAGGTAAAGACACAGAGCGACCCATGTATTTTAGATGCATCTGTCAATCCTGGAGGTAACAAAAAGGTTAGAGAATGGGTTGTTTTGACTCAAACACTCAACAGAGCAACTACAATACAGTTAGACACTTGCATTAACTGTAGTATGAGACTGTACATACAGGTCAGCTCCAGGTGAAAATGTTTTAACTGAATTAAGAAGTAATGTCATTGAATTTTGTTTGAAGGCCAAACGTGCAGTGACTTCTAGCATCAATGCAGTATAATGTAATTCTGACCACAACCAAAGGTACAGGTAAGTCTGGTTAGGTTGGGTCTTTTGTAGGTGTTCCACCCACTATTTGACAACCAGAAGCACGACTAACAGACATGATTTTAGCCAATACCCACTGATTGACTTGTTGTTGAGTAAATCTTCACGTCGCCCATAATCCTTATCATACTGGGTCTAGTGAATACATCAAGCTCATCATCCCCAATACCTCTACTATTTTTGGCTGTAACTCCTTTTGCTTCGCAGCAGCTAACGACTGGAACACCTTACAAAACACTCTCAAACTTGCAACTCTGACTCCGCTCACCACCTTCGAGCTTAAAATTGCCCCCAGCTTCTTACTTGCTTGCTTTTGTTCCATGTTGTGTTTATGTGTCTATTTGTGTCTCTAATTTACATGTGTATTTGCTACTGCTGGCGCCTCTTGGCCAGGTCATGTTTCCAAATGAGAACTGGTTCTCAAACATTTTTACCTGGTAAAATAAAGGTCAAATCAATAAAATCATAATCATAAAGTCATAATCATACATCAAGGCCTTATTATCATTTTGGCAGTTCCTGATTCTGGTTAGTTAGACTCACGAGATGTAGACTTGCATATTTCACATGGCTTTCTCTTCCCATTCTCCTATCTGTATGTTACTATTTTCAAAATTCCCTTCATAATAAGTAAAAAAACATCCAAGTAGCAACCCTCACACTGAAAATTTCAGGTTGTGCTGAAGATTTGGATCATCCAACAAGGCACGTCTTCTTGTCTATTTCCTATGAACATCCTCCTGTAGCTCAATGTGGCAAAACCTAAAGTATTAATTATGTTTGCTTCATTTTTCAGCTCCATGTGTTGTTACGTAGTTTCTCTGCAAAGTTTATCTTTACAAAAATGTGGATTTTTTTTTTTGCACTTCATGTCAGTAAGACATTCAGTGGATTGCTTATAAAGTCAACTGTGGAGAGATAACAGTAAATTGTGGGAGAGCGATGGAGAATGACGTGCAACAAAAATCCCTAGACTGACTGACTTATAGATCAGTACGCATTGACAAAACATGATAAAGTAGAGCAAGCAAAACCAAAATGAGGATTGGCAAGTTTTACTCTATGAGGTGTGACCTTTGTACATAAAGCGCCTTGAGGTGACTTATGTTATGCACCTGGACTATATAAATAACACTGAACCAAATTGAATACTGGGGAAATTCTTGCTGATGTATAAAAAAAAATAATAACTTGAGTTTAACCAAGTTTTGGCCTTGTGAGCAAAAAGAACTAAAAGATTGATCCATGCAGAGGTGATGTAAATTAATGAAAAGTTTTAGTCTGGGCAAAGCTGAGGCTTGTAATGTAATGTAGTAGAGATAAGCAATTTTTATTCTCATGTCCTGTGAACTTACAGGGAGCACAAAGCCTGCAGTATGGATGTGTATACAACTACAGCATGTTTCATAGTCAAGGCTCTTGTATCAAAATATACTTATTGTAAAACATAAACTAAGTGTTACTATCAGCAGCATCGCAATGCTTTACAGAAAGTAATTGGGATTTTTACGGTGACTTCATGTAATGTGTTTGCACAAAATTCTCTCGTTCTGTTACAATAAGTCCACAACAAACTGGCACAAACATTGAATGGAAACAAAGAGGAAACTCAAGGATACGCAAAGGAATTGATATAAAGCAGCCTGCTGAACTTCATGTTAGATTCAGATCAGAACTTTGAAAGGTATTTTGCACGTAACGTAGACTGTGGATTGTCATCTCTGTTATATTTCATGGTTTCTACCTGTAGTCAGTATAAACAGGGGGAATGAATACTGAATACTGAAACGGACATTTTGTCTATACCTGTGCACCCTCCTTTCATCACTCCACAATGCTGTTCCTTCTTCGTCAGTGATGCTGTTAACTATTAGTTCCTCCTACACCTCTTTCTCTGCTCTCCTGCCTCCTCACCTCAGCTCGAAGTTCAGCTAGTTTCTTGTCCATACTAGTTCGAGCTCCCAGTTCATCCTCCAAATCTTCAGAAATGCGGCCGAGTTCATCCTGGTGCATCTCTTTCAGCAGGTTCAGCTAAATGGTGTCAGAGAGAGGGGGAGACAAAACGTGAAAGGCCTGGGTTTTCTCAATGTCTTTTATGTTTAGTGTTTCTGATTTTAAAAAAAAGGATACAGGAAAAAAATAACATTTACTAAGAAATAAGTTATACTTTAATGGGTGCAATAAACATACAAAATTTGATCACTTGATGTCCTAACAACAGCTACACTTTAAAGAGCTTGACATTTGGTGTTATCGATCACTTTGAAGGACAAAAAAGCCATTTCTGGATCAAACACCTCCTGTGATCTTGAGGCATCTGAAACAACAAGCATGTAGGTAAGAGTGACCCAATCTCCTTCACCATACCTCTTAATCCCTCCTCATTCTTATCTGATCATTGCATTTCTACCTGTGTCTCATCTGCCTCCTCTCAATCTTCAGCACTTCACAGTATCCTGCTTTCATCTAAATCCCTTCTTTCCTGCTTATCTTTAAAACATCCACCATCACCATCTACAAATTTCTCATATCTTCTGACCCACCTACCCCTCCTTTCTTTCCCTTTGCTGGCTTAAGCAGACTGATTTTGTCACCCAGTGAGTTTTTCCATGAGACGTGTGTTTACTGCATGCGTCTCTTCCTTAACACTCTCCTCTCTGCAGGCCTGGACTGCCCCCGAGTGGTGTAACACAGTCATTGGCCATGTTTCAGTGCAGCTTTATGGGCTTATGCCTGAGCTCTACTCTTGGGATGCACTGCTTTGTTTGTCTAACACCCCGAAAACGTAGTGGTGCATTGAGATATTAAGAAGATTTATGATGATCTCCTCTTCCTCTCTCCATCTCTAAAAGGCAGATACCAAAGACTACAACAAAAGCAAACAGAAAATGAAAAGACGGGACACATGTTTCATATTTCATATGTCTATGTATGTTATGTCACAGATTTTTATAATAATGTATCACCAGACACAGATGCATTATACTACCCTGCATTCATTGTAATATCTTTCTGCATGCTATTATATTCTGTTGTAGTCCATTATCTCACATGCATTAGACATGTCTGAACTTACCACAAACATCTACAAACATCTTGACTTTGGCCATTATTTGTAGACATCCCTAGACTACTTGATATTTTGTGCAGTTCACTAATTAATTGTCTGTTGTTGCTACTGAGCAGGTTATGTACCATGAGAGTGGTGAGACTGAACAGCTAAACGATCAGCTGCAACTCCCCACCTTACCAGTGCTTTCACACTATAGTTTCACATTATGTTACGATAAAATATCAGCTGTAGACAAAGAATAGAGGGCTTTGTTGTTGACAAATGTTTCACTATTGCAATTACTGGTATGTTTTTTTTCATCTTATAAAGTTCATGTGGGCTGGTCAGTTGAATGTCCATGACACATTAAACAACT